TGAAGCGGTATATAAGTCTACTGCTATTGCTATTGCTATTAGTCATGCCAGCCACATGACCACGGAGACATTTTCGGACACTGCTGGCTCTTCGGCTTTGAAACGGAGATGAGGATCGTCTCTTAGAATCGGGAACGACTAGCACATATGTGCAAGGGGAACATGTACCTTTATAATTAAGATTGGACAACTCTGTTGTAACTAGCCTTCATTATGCTACTGTGTTCAGGTCTATGTGGAAGTAACAGTTTTTAGACTGTTTTCAGTCTTTTTGTTCTTTGATTTTATGTAGATTTTTCTAGAGTTAATAATGCACATTGGTTAATAATGCACCTTTCAGTTCCAAGATGAATAAATGACCTAATCAGAAGATATAGATTAGAGTCACATTTAAAGGTTGGTTTGGGTTTAACATGCTTATGCTTTCACACAACTTTGTTTATAAACGATATTTTATGGTTTGGCATGTTTTAACTCAAATCATGAAAGTATGTCTTAATGTGTCAACTTCTTATGAGATAGCAAGGAATCATTGCCATTTTTTCCAGGAAAAAAATAATCATTGAACAGAAACTACATTTATTTTTGGAAATAATATGGCTAAAATTTAGATGCACCTGTTCCATCTTTGACTCTACAGGAACACTGAAAATTGAGAGGAAATCAAAATTGGAAGAAAGAGCCTCATCTTTACTTGGTATGAACATAAAATTAAGAGCTTTCATGGTAATCTTTTTTATCTTTTCTTTTAAAAAATTATCTGTATCACTTATAAATGACCTGTTTTAATTATTGGTGGCATGATTTGATAGTTTTGTTTCTTCAAGTTATTTTTGAGGCGTTGAATCATATTAAAGGGAAAAATATAATAACTGGGATTATTTTGTAATTCCAAGATTAGTTCAGTTGCTAAACAGATATGATTACTATTTAATAGACTTTAATAGCCACTGAAATTATGTTTTTCATATTGAACTCATTCACCCTAACAGTTTTAAAAAGTGCCTGTTTTGTGCAAATGTATATGATGCTAAGGGAAAAAATTAACAAACCACATTACAGGTTAGTGCTATATATATATATATACATTGGGCTACTTTCATACTTGACTATATTTTACTGCGCTATAAATCTTGGTTCCTAGTTTAAAATTTCACATTTCCCTTTTCTCAGTGTCTCTACTGTTTAAATCCACTTTTCTCCACTTGATCAATTAGGTTCCACTCCCCCGCTCCGGCAGGATATTGATACTAGATGACAGTTGTTTTAAGTGAGTTTAGGTTCTTTCAAATTAAAACCATCCTTCATTTGCAACTCAGGTAAAAAGAAGGAGAAGGAGAGGAAAGAGAAGAAGGAAAAAGATCTGAAGTCAAAACAGAAGAAGAAAAAGAAGAAATCGAAACAGCATGGTATACCCAACATATAAACAAATGAGCAAAACGTATCCCTGTGGTTGCTCTCATAGGATGATGCATTAGATTTTAAAGCAGGTGCTCATAAAATCGCCCAAACATTGCTTTAAAACCGTGATGGCAAACCTATAGCATGTGTGGTGTAAGTGGCACACAGAGCCATCTCTCTGGGCACTTCAGCCGTTGCCCATTGCTCCTCTGGGTTCCAGCATGCCCGCCTGCCATCTGGTCTTCCCATGCGCATACATGTCAGAAGCTGGAAGATCAGGTGACTGGTGCACATGCTGGGAGTTCAGAACTGCTCTTCCGGTTTCCAGCACTCCCGCGCGTGTCCGCCGGTGCTCCCCAACACGCACGTGTGCTCCCATTTTAGCACTCAGTGCCAAAAATGTTTGCCAACCACTGCTTTAAAATGTGCTTGTTGGCTCTTTTCAAGTGCAACCTGCTGACTAGTTTTACCTGTTTTCCAGTGAGCACCTTGTGCTTTTCACATTTTTTCTCTGAATAGCAATGGGTGCTCCACGTCATCCCTGCTAAGTCCTCCATGTAGCATATTTTTCGGAGTATAAGATGCACCGGAGTATAAGACGCACCAAGGTTTTGATGAGGTGCACTTTTTCAAAAAATGAAGGTAGGTAGATAGAGGG